TAATGCACTTAATCACAGGTGGAAAGAGTTAGAAAATAAAGGAATACCTTTTAAAGCAAGATGTGACAGGCTGATGGGGAAGATACTTTATTTAAAAGTGAGTTTCCCAGTGAATCTTCTGACTGCTGCAAAGTCTTGTCTTAACTGAATGTGGACACGGGCAGTAAGAATGCATGGCAGAGCAGATGAATAAGCCAAATGGAGCAGTTTTCTGGAAAGTGGAGTGCTACTAGGGCAAAAGAGAACAGATATTCTCCCATTTGGACTTGGGTACCTGAAGATGTGTTTTTTAAAAATGTTTTTACCTGCTACTTTTTAAGCTTTTACCCCATTTTTGAGGATGAGTAATACATAATAAGCAATATCAATGAAATTGAAACACTGATTTATCCAGAAGACCTCTCATTTAAGGGTCTTGCTGGTTCTAGGCCTTAAGGAGATCTGGAAGAAGTAGAGGCAAGCACTCCTGTTTTTGTCATTCTGACAACTTGGTAGGAATGATGCCTTTCAGTTCAAGAATTCTCTGTCTAAAGAGTAGAGGGTAGGTGAGATGCCCTGGCTGGTAGATCTGAAGTGGCAGCTGTAAGAATGTGCTACTTGTGGTGGTACTAGTGAGCTTTGCCTACTTGTTGTGGAAGGAGGAGGGTGGAGCTCTGTACAACTTGTTACAGTTGATTTTGCAATAAAGCACGACAGTCTCCTTTTTGTATTCCAGACAAAGAAAGACTGATGAAATTGGTGGAAAAAAAAGGAAACAAAGAGTGTTCAGACTATGAGCCTAAGCATATGGGTGGTACAGGCAATAAATACCATAATTTCCGACTGCTACCAGCAGGAGTAACCTATGTGAAGGATTTTGCTAGGGACTGTTTAGGGAGCCAGACACAGACTCACACTAATTGTGTGCTTGCATGTATTTTTTCCATAGAGCTTTCAGGTTAAAAAAAAAAAGTTAACAAGGTCATCCTTTAACTTGGCTTTTCTTTTTTACTGTTTACGTTTGATATATTCCAAAATTAAACACAACAGCAATTGTATGAGTGTTTCATGTATCCATTGTGTTGGCTAGTCAGTGACTCTGAGTATCTCTCTTTTCCTGTACTTTCTGTCACAGGTAACATAGAATACAGCTGCCCAGCAACAAATGAATGCGAAATCACAAAGCGCAGACGCAAGTCCTGCCAAGCCTGCCGCTTCATGAAGTGTCTAAAAGTTGGCATGCTGAAAGAAGGTAAGACTGATCAAGTCACTATGTATCTTTCTGCAAACACATGGAACAACTGTAGGGCAATCAGGAAGGAGAGACCGGTAAGTGTCCTAATCAGTTACTGTAAAGGCAATTTTAATGTGTACTTGTTCTTCCTGACAGTCTGATTTTAAGATAGTATTTGGAATCACAGTGTGTCTACATAGAGTTGATCTTCTCTGGAATATTTCTATCTATGTGTAGTACAGCAGAATGTACCACCCCAGCATTCAGTCTCCTTCAGTAGGTAACTAACAGAATAACAATGAGAATATATCCTCTCATATTCCTTCATGCTTTAACATGATAATTCTCAAAGATTTCTTTCCTCCGTTCCTTATCCACTGTTAATCTGCCCCAGTTCAGGCAGAAACACGTTATGCCTTCTCTTTCCTATTTTTACTCGGTCTTCATTTCATCAGGGCAAACGAAAGGGTTACTTCTCAGTTAAACAAGTATAAATCTTGAGTGTGTCTACTGAAGTTACTGTAAATACACTGGAGGAAATAATGGCATGCAGAAGAGAAGAATCCACCATTCCTTTTTTTTTTTTTTTTTGAAAGAGACCCCTTTCCTCTCGCTGTAAGTATTCATTGAGTGTTTTAATTCATCAGTTACGTTTTTAAGATTTTGGAAAACAGGTAAATGTGTAAAAAAATGCTTCCAAAAAGCAGTACTATCTCACCTGGAACCTGACTTATCTATGTTACAGAAAGAGGCAATTCCTTAAATCTTGTTCACATTCTATTCACTTTTATTGTAGATATATATGCAAAAATACACTTTTATGTGCGTGTATTGTATACATTATGATTTAAGCTTTTACAGTGCTTTAGTGCAGTTACCCCCAAGAAAGAATGACAGAAGATGTCATGGACTTCTACATAACCTTTTAAAATAAAATTGATGCAATGTTTTCTAAATATTATCTTCAATGGAGTGTACTTTTTGTTATGCAACCATTTTTAAATAGTCCCATGCAAATTTGTTTTGTCAGTGCTTGAAGAGTCAGTTTTCATAGATGTCTGTTTTTTGAAAATAATTTGATGGTAATTTAAAACAGGTTTAAGTAAATACCTATCAGGGTAAAATCCAAGAGCAACCTAGACCAGTGGTGAGATGATGGACAAATTAGACCTATCACGCACCTTACAGACATATTCTTGATTGGATTATACTTACTAAGAATAAACCTTGTTCTGTGCAACTGCTTTGGCAGATGCTGTGATCCTGTGAGCCAAATCCTGCTGTCCTTAGTCTTACTTGAGCAAAACTCCTGTCAGGTTCAATGGGGATTTTGCCTTAGTAAGAATGGCAGGATTTGACCCTCTCTTCCAATGGTGATGGGAGTGTTCTTTGCTTGCTTGAGTTCAATGTATCTGACCACTAGGACCAGTTACTTACAGGTTAGTTTCTGATGCTCAGCTAAACTGTAGAAAGAAAATAGTGTCTGAGTATGACACCTTTTGAAAAGGACTGTGCTTCTTAACATCTTTTTTAAGTAAGCTAAGACCCCACATTATTAGTAAAGTAGTACACAAACATATTGAGCAACTTCTTTGAAACCAAAACAGTGCTACCAACAGTACATACAGGTGAATTGGTTTAGACCTTTTCTCTTAAATTTTGAGAGCACCATTACACATCCATTGATCTGTACATTTAAAAATCTTGTCTGTGTGCAGGTTCTGCGACTGCATGAAGAAACTAAGTGACTCTTTTACAAATGAATAATTATCTCAGTTACCAAAATTGTGTGCAGATTGACTATGTTTCTGCATATGGTTTTGGTAACTGAAATGATTCAGACAACTCAGATGAGCAAATCAGATTTTTGAAATGAATTATCATTGTCCATAAATGCAAATCAATCCCACAAGGTTTCTTAATAATAATTTAATAAATTGTCTACCCTAAAAGTATATACCTTTTTCTGAAAGTTCTACAATGGCATAATAACCAATTTCTTTGAAAAGAAGTGTCCTTTGTTAGCTTCACTCCTCAGTACATCATAGTTCTTTTTAGTTCTCTTGCTGTGTGAGTTTTTTTGTCAAAACACAAAGATTTCTGTTTACTTTTAATTACTGTGTCTTTTCATCTAGGGGAGAATTTGCTTGTCTTCTTTCAGGTACTGCTTGTTTACCACCTAATAACACAACTT